TATATATATATAATAGAAATTAGTTTGCTGTTGATGCATATTTTTTTCTTGAACAAAAAACATATTGATATGTATCTATAATAATGTAGATATTAGGTTTTCTTAAGTGATTTCATTTCTCAAAAAAAAGAAGCTATATATTCAATATATTTATTGATCATTTCGAAGATCACATCACATAAGGTAGAGTGCTTTAGGGCTGACTGATGAATTACTTAATAGTGAAGTAAAATATTCTTCTGGCATCATTAATGGAATTCGCGGAGTTTCGATTGGTATACCAAAAATTATTGTAAGTATGTAGGTACATATATTATAATTCAGCTCTTCAATAATTTCTGTTAATATTGAAGTTACTTTAAGGCATATGATTTATAGTATTATGGGGGCTCGAATTTACCTATAAGTAGCGAAGAAGAGACAAGTAGACTCAGCTCTGTCAACTCGTTTAAAAATTTAAAATTATTAAATAAATAATTAATAACTTAGCTAGCTTCATTAAAATAGTAGTACAACTGAGCCTTAGGCATATAACAATTTGATAGGATCTATTCCAATTAAATACATACATATATTCAGGTATATGTATTTATACGTTTAATAACTTAACTCTATTTATATTTATATTTAATCTCGAATAGTGAATTACATTCACTTTTGCAGTCTATAAATCATTATACGATTTCAATGCAATGATTTAAGATTCTGTTCAGTCTGTCTCTTCCTCTTCCTCTCTCACTTACACATTACACATTTTCTCTCTCTCTCTCAAATAGCTCCCATTAATTTGCCGTGTGTAAATACTTTCGCATGGGGTCTCATTGGCTTTTGAGGCTTGTTCATGTTGCGATTCATGTTTGTTCATGTTGCAGTGGAATGACACAATTTACACGCTCGACTGCAGTCGCCATGTGCAGTATTTACTGTACAGAGGATTGCCTCTGCCCTTTGCTCTGCTCACCTCTGCCCTCTGCTCTGCTCTGCTGCGCTGCGCTGCTCTGCATTTTTATGGCATTTAAAATAGTTAATGTTTTGCTTGAGCTTGAGCACCCAGTCGGCCATTTATAATGCCGTCTGGCCGTGGCAGCAGCAGCAGCAGCTGAAAAAAAAAAAAACAAAGAGCGCTGCATACCTTTGGGCTCACCTGAAGTCACCTGAAGTGCGGCTAGTGCCAAGTAGGTCCACTAGCGTCCACTAATGCAACAAATAAATCATGAAAAATGTCTCTCAACTGGGCTACAGAGAAAAAGTCTAGGACGAGTCGAGAGTTTTCCTTAAATTCTTTTTATTTTCTGCTATTAGCCAAACACTGGTGGAAATGGATAAACGATGAAGCTTACACTGCGTTTAACAGAAGGGAAAAGTTGTTGTTGTCTGGTTAGAAAGTTGAAGATGTGAAGTTATATTACGACGTATACTAAGTCATGTTACTAATTCATTATTATTACTAATTATTATTCAGATAATAATAAGCTACCAAGGGGTTATTGTAAAACCTCGTGTGGCTTTAACAAATTAAAAAAAAAAAGAGAAAAAAAGTTTATTAATTATTACACTATATATTAATTTAAAAATATAACAAATGGTATGACTCGGGCTTACAAGATTTAACTCTGTAGGGATTACAACTCCATGGATTTTTACCAAGCAATCTGGTTATAGTTATAGATATTTATAAACTAAAGCTAAATATTTCATTAGCAGCTCTTTTGCTTTATGAGAAACCTCCTCAAAGGTCCTTTGCACGTCACAAAGCAATTTTCACACAACTTCTTCAACCTGCTTCAACCAGCTTCAACCTGCCGTAACCTTCTCTTCATATCAGTTAATTAGGGCAGTCGCGGCAGCAGAGTATCTGCAGCTTGGTTAATTAAATTTTGCTTTAACACCTGATATGTGCCAGGATAATTAGCTTAACAGCCGGCTGAGCATATTACGAGACGAGATACGAGCAGCTGGGGATGCTCTAAGCAAAAGCTGCACTACAAAAAAAAAAAAAAAAGAAACTATTTATCAGGCTAATGCGGCAGTCTGAGACACACACCCACACACACACATAAACATGTACATACGCACACACATGGACAGCTGAAATACGCCTGACTGCAATGACACTAATAAAATTAATAGACTATAAAAGTCACACACACACACGCACGCATACACACACACACACACACACCCAACGGCCTGGAGTCGAACATGCACTGAGAGTCTGAGAGTTTGAAATGAAATGTTAAGAATTTCCTGCTCATACGTAACGCTCAATGGATTTTGGATGACAGACACTCACTTAGGGGCTGGGCAGGAGTTGGCTAGAGCAGCTTCATGGCTAAAAACGTCAGCATTTGGGTCGTGCAAAATGGTGGCAATAAATGGGATTGGGTCAACAGACGCATTACGTTTTCTGTTTTCTGCTGTTACGGCACTGGGCATGGCTGGATAAGAATTTTATGATGTGTACAAATACGTTCGCATAACTCATCTGAATTGCAAGGCTGCTATTTTATTGTATCTGCTCTTCTTCTTTTTTGTGACAATAAATGATTCGATGAGCATCGTAAAAAGTGGAGAAAAATCGAGTAGCCGGGCCAGATTGACTAAGGCGGACTACAGACAGATAGAAATATAGGCCTGATGTGGATGCTTAGGTGGCGCAGGTTGAAGACGAAAAAAGATTGGTTTTAGCAGTGTTTGTTTATAATTGAATGCCAAACTCATGATTTGAGATTTGAGCTCTATTCATATGGGACAGTTTCTATATGGACTACTTCTAGGCAGCCTTGAGAAATACGTCTAAAATTTCTCATATATTATTTGTTATTTGTTGTAATTTTAATTGATCTTAATTACGTTTCTTTTCTCTGATTCACATACTCTCTCTAGCTTATATAACTTATGTGTTTTCATATATTTCATATATATATTTATAAGAAACTTAGCTTTCATAAAAATTTAATTTAATTTAAATTTGGGAAAAAAAAAACGACCTAAAATTATTTGTATATAATAAAAATCAAATACAGAATATAGATAAGTGTATAAATATTGTTTAGTATATTGCATAATTCCACTAAAAATCGGCGATCATGATGGATGACACGCTCAGGCTAATTAATCATGTGCCCGGATAGCTCAGTCGGTAGAGCATTGGACTTTTAATCCAAGGGTCCAGGGTTCAAGTCCCTGTTCGGGCGATATTACAATTTATTTTAAATTATTGCATATACATGCTTTTAAAATTAATTTGATCATAAATTTATAAATATATATTTATTATATTGAAAACATATTTTTAAAAGGCGTAGAATATTTAAAAAAAATTATTGCCTAAGCTGAAACTTTAAATTAAGCCTAGGTTAAATTAAGCCTGCTAGTTAAATTTTTACTAAATAAATTTACTAAATGAGCTATTTTAATAATTACCAATCATTAATTATTAAAAAATATATTATATATTTTCTATTCCTTCATTTAAGTGATTTGACTGCTAATTGCAGCTTAGCTTAGCTTAGATTTTAAATAAAATTCATTTAATAGCAATAATCAAATATGTGAATTTATGATAGAAATTTCAGTAATTGGAGGACAGC